AATACTAGCTGCGTCAGCGACTTCTTTCGCGTGAAATGGTTATTTTGGGCATCCATATTTATTCTTTGTAAACCTATTCTTCATCTTTATAATTTTCGCTGTTATCCACGGCATCGGTCGCGTCCCGTCGTTCTTGCAAGTTAATCTCAAGAGATGAACATAATATAGTGTCTCTAGATCATTTAAAGAGGAATACTTCTTTCATACATATTTCTTCGCTCCTATTAGTCACATCGATGCTTTATATCCTAAAGCCTTCCTTGATAAATGCTCTAACTATTTCTCTAAATATTTGTTCAATTCGAACCAGTAGTTCCTGAGATTAGCGCGTTCAAACAAACAAACTCTTCAGCTTTACATATTAGTATAGATATAGTTTTACTACGGCCCCATAATTCTAATAGAATTCAGCCACGGATAGCTTAATTTGAATGTTAGAGAGATCCAAATGTGAATTTCGCGACCCACATAGACGCAATTACATCCGAACTACAAGACAGCTCTATTCAAAGCTATTACCATTTGATTGTTCCTAAACACTGGTTCTGTAGTAAAATAAATCGTCCATGTACAATAGCGTCTTCAATTAATTGATTCAGAATCATTAAGTATTCTCTGTAGTTGACGCGAGTAGTACACATTTAAACATAAGACAATTAGTAAAAAATAGAGACGCGCCGAGTAACGAGTACCGAGTTTTTCTCGGTTCAAATATTTTTCAAACCGAGTACTACGGTACAAACAAATTCTCGCTTCGCGCATGTAAACAAATACAAACAAGTTCGCGCCGGTCAAGACGTCGGCTCTCATCTTCTCGTAGTTTTGTCTCATTACTACTCATTCATTAGCATAGTTTTGATCTTTAATTATTAATTTAATTGAAATTTTCAAATATTTCCTAAATTACTAATAATTACTTTTGGATTAACTCAGTTGTTTTAAGTAAATTAAAATATATTCCTTTTCTTAAACAGAGTATGGTCGTTATTAAATAACAAAGACACAACAAACATGAGAGTTATTCGGCCGAGTACGAGTATCAAAAAAGACGCTGAGTACCGAGTATCAACAAAGTACCCATCTCTAGTAAAAAATGTGTATGTATACAATAATTCACAAAGAAACGATTTTAAATCCACGTTCTAAATACAAACACAAATTGGACATCTACTTCGTGTCCAGTTCATAAATTATAGGATTACTAGTTGATCACGAGTTCTGAACTAGACTTAGTCCAGTTTGTCTTGGACGTACTTAGCTGCTAAATCCTTAATGGCTACTAATAGATAGATTTATTATCTGCATTTACTGGTAAAACTTTTTCTTTCGCACTTATTCTCCTTACATAAATAAGTTATATCTTCACGTCAATATAATTATCATCAAATCCAACAAATTTGCTAACTCAATTTATAGTTCTTTTAAAACATGTTAGAATCTGAAAAATCAGTTCTTTAATTAGTGGTAGGAATATCGAAATATAATTTAAAAATCTAAAATAAATTGAAAAAAATTTCGATTCGGGCAGGATTTTTTTTTAAATTATATAGTGCCTTCATGTGCAATAACATGTAAAAAAATAATAAAGTTTTCAAATATCGAAATATTATCTGTGTCTAGAACCACTATATACAGATGGTAAAGCCATACAGTTTATTCGCGTTTCATTCTGAAGGTCCAAAGCAAAAATAGGTCAACAGCCTATCTGCTTGTTATTATTTTTCATCACATAAATTTAGCAAATAGTAAATACATATAAGCTATGTAATATGTATAGTACATAATTTATTTCAGAACCGATTAGAATTATTACAACCACAGGTTGAAGTTAAAAATAAAGTAACTCGCATATTTCGGATTTTGAACCGTTTTATTTTATTAGACATATGTAGTATTCGTGTTGTAAGTCTTGTTATTTTTGTTTAATAATTAATTTCAAACGTGTTATATACGAACAACCTTTTTAATCTTCTAAGATACAAAGGCTGTTTCGAAGTGGGTATTTCTGTAGAAATAGTTTCCACTTCCAAAACAAAATGCTCTTTTAGTATAAAAGTGCCTTTTCGATCAAAGTCGTCTCTTTTAAAGAAGGGGACAATGCAGAAACGCTATCGTTGCGATATCACATGCTAGGGTTGGCAAATTCACCGTTTTAATGCATTATTACGAGAATAATCAGGAATCGACTCGACGACCTACAGCGTACCATTGGTCTACCGACTAAAGTACTGTGTCAAGTTAAAGAAAACGGTATGCATACTTTTTAATGGGTGTGTTAGTGTTATGGCAGCCATGTAAGGCTAATAATCGTGTGGTATCGTGAGTTCAAACCCCGGTGGTACGAATATGGAAATTCCTAAGAGTTACAATTTCCCAATCAAAAACGGGATTTCCGAATATCGCCGTAGTAGGTAGCTGGTTGTATGTGGATGTCTGTAGAAAAGGGGTATTTCATTTTTCATCAAGTGACCCCCCCCCCCCATACCTGTCTATCCTCGTCCCAAATTTTTTAGTGTTGATGGCTGAGGCATTGAGTTGAAGCCTTTTAGTATAACTAAAATGTTTTTTTTTGTTGAAAAGTAGATATATTAAGGGTACGTGGTTCACTAAATGGAAGGTAATGCACCTGCCATATAACATCTGATCAAGACAGCAGTATTAAATAAGCAACTAATATTTAAACAGACTGCTTTCATACAACTCTGCTGTCAATTTATTCGGTGATGTTTTTAAATTCTTGATTTCTAGATTTTTTTTTAAAGTGTTGCATCCCTCCCTTAGTGGCAGCCCTATTCCCCTGAATAGATGTAAGTGGAGCAGACAAGACAATACACCCAACGCCGCACATTTACAAATGAGAACCGTCTTCTCAAGATGGCGACATTTCATTGTACACTTTCCTTAACAGAAAGATCTGTGCCGCTTTTGAGGAAAAATATTTCTAATTATCCATCGCTATCACGGAAGAACGATTTAGTGCAATCACGTTTTGGTTTCAGACCACAATTTCTGATTATCCAAAGCCAAAGTAGATCGATTACGCATCTTGTTTAGATCCTATCATCGAGTTAACACCATGGCTTACCTCCATAAAAAAAAATATTGAACTTATTAACTTACATAGTCTTTTAAACCGCCTAGAGTATATGCATACCGATTCTCGTACATAATACCTCCATATATATCTCTTTAAAATCACCCCGTTATATCAATAGATTTAAAATGTCATTACCTCTCCTTTTAGCTCCACCGTTGGTTAAAAGCTCTAAAACTTTGCAAACAATACCTAATTCCCGAACACGCTAATTCTATTTGCGCGATATATCCTCTGCGACAGACCAGCCCATGGGAATAATACCCAATTACTGATGTCGGTTAATGGACCCAACGATATTCATGTATTCTGTTTGCGCGAGATTCGTGACACTTTTGATGTGGCGTCTGTAGTTTACGCGAGTACACATTTAAATAAAGTAGTTAACTTATTTTATGGATGGTGCCACTATGGCAAATTGGTCTTTGACATTAGAGTCGCCCTTCATTTTCAGGCCACCTGTGAGCACGGCTGTAGAATATCCGTTATGTCGAGCCATTTAAAATTAATTAAGTAATTATTATATTTAGCATTTAAACCGTTTGTAGTGTTTGATTTAATAATGTTTAATAATTTTTGTTGACTTCGTTGAATTTCGATTTACTGTTGCTCAATACGTATCAGAATTCACTTTGACATCAGGGACAAACCCTATCTTAAGCCCCCCAGAGACTACGCTTGCTGCAAAGCATCCGAAACGTCGGGTTGTAGTTAACTACTATACTACTATATTTTGTGTTTTAAACCGTTAAAAATACTCACGATGACGGGCTCATGAGTCTAAAGGTTAATCAGCGGGTAGTGGGTCCAATCCCTACCTCCTCTATTATAAAATAAAGTGTTTTATTTAAAGTTGCCCGGTAGAAATCGCCATGGGCTCTGACGTCGCATTTGCACTAACTATTTATTTGTTTGTGGGATAATGTGTTTTATTATTAACTAAATACTTTCAGTACTTGTAGACAGTGTTTTGTTTAGAATTGACTTCTTTTGCTCTCATTGCTTTCATTTTTATCGTATCATTATCGACTAAACAGGCACAGTAGGGACGCGGCCTGAATAGACAGACGAGCTCCACTTTCGTATTCAAAGCGCAGCGCGAAAAGGTCTCGCTAGCTTCGGGATAATTTACGACTTCGTCCCGCCATAAACTATCACTGACTGGAATACTTAACTTTCAATACTCGATAGAGCGACATCTGGGGCTGAAGAGTTCAACCGGAACGATGACGAAGTCTTAATTTTTTTATCATAGAGGAGACAGACAAGAATAGGCGTCACTTGATGCTAAGTGTACCACAACCTATATTTAAAAATATATATATAAATGGAAAAATTATAAATTTGTTGGACCCGGTGGGGATGGATTCCTCGACCCGTTAAGGCATACATTGCTACCATTAGACCAGGATGCTATATTCAAAAAGTTAAAATGGCACCCAAACCTTCGTTGTCCGTCATTAGATACACACTAGAAAGATTCATTAAGTGGCTCACGTATAACATGATTTGAATATTTAAATAAAACACTTTAACGGTTTAAAACGCGATATATATTAGCCAACTTCGACGGAATAGATGCCGCTAGCGTTGCAATTTTTATCAATCCACGGCTGCAGCAAAGTATCCGAAACGTCGGGCCGAAGTTAAAAATAATTTTTAAATAAGTTTAACTAATATTTATCGCATTTTAAACTGTAAAAGTAGTTTATTTAAAAGTCCTTATCTAATAAATAAAAATACAAATATCGTCCTTCATGTAGCATAGTTCTAAAACATTACATATAACAACTTAGGTGTTATTGCTTGATACATAAATGTATATAGAAGCTTTAGTAATGGAAAATGGAGTGCGGTGGCTACTTCCACACAATAGCGTTTGATGACACATTGTGTCAGAATAACTATGTTTGGTGAGAACGTTTCATTCCCTGATTCGACTCTTTCTTGTTGCTCCCTTTTAGAACTACATATTCTGAATATTTTGATCTTTGGTCTGATTGTAATGTACTGGTAACAAATGGGTCGCTTAAATTCTCACAATCATACATGTTTTCCAATCTTTTCAATCTAGACTGTATGTGGGTAGTTTCAAAATTTCGTCCGGGTCATCTACCACACACGGAGAAGTCGTGAAGTTTAGTAACACTTTTTCGGTTGCAGCTTTACGAAAACCTGACACTAGTTTCCAAAATTAACACCTGGTCTTGTTTTATTACGAAAATACACTCTGTTTCAATGTTCCATTTAACATTAGCTACGTACATCCAGAATTACTAATATCTCTCGTACATCATGTAGTATCGGCGTAATACGTCTAAACTCTTAATTTCTCTGTTCTTTAAGAGGAGACCAGCGCCCATGTGTGGCCGTTAGTGGAGTAGAAGAACGCGATAATAGATAGTACCTATTACAAGGAACTGATAACGACGAAAGCCGTGAAAAAAATGAAAGCGTGTTTACGTTTAACGTAATAAAAAAGCGACGCATTGTAAATGCCCATTGTGCGAGCGTTATTAAATTACGCGGATGTGTTGCGATGCGTAACGAAAATTTATTACAGCCACGTAAATCTCAATTGCGGGCTTATGTGAATGAGCGTGAGCCGCATGCGTCGTTGTACTGATTAAATCGAGAAATTTTAATATTATTTAGACAAATATAACTTACTAGTTACGTCACTGTACAATTTAAACCGATAGTAATTTCTCGCTTGGTAACGAGCGAGTGAGACTGGCGTTATTTGATATCCATAACGACATTTCGATTATTTGAAAACTAAATTTTTTTGTCATATGTCGGAAATTATAAAAGAATTCGCTGCCTAGTGGTTGCCATTATGCACTGGCTTGTAATCAGTGCGCCCCCGGCGCAGGCGACGTTTTCACGCAAGTGTCTCCGAGAGTTCACGAGCATGAATCTTTATAGTCGCACTACTGACTTACAGATCACAATGACTTGTCTCGACAGATTGCCAATTTCGACAGCTGACCCTAGCATACCACAGAGTACACTATGCCTAACTTCAGTATGGCGGCAATTCACATAGTACTAAAATAATAATTCTCCGACATGTATTTTGCACAAGATGGCTTTTCTAAGATATTAATAATTGTTTTCTTTTATAGTCTATGAACTTACACTATTCTTCTATTCATAAACTTCAAACGTATAACGTGAAGTATCGATAGTTAGTTCTTGTGAACAACCTGCGCTACTTGTCTGAAACTCACACCGAGTTGAACTATAAAATAAAATCGTCGACAGCGCCCTTTTTTACTCTATAGCTAAATTGTTAAGCGTGTCCTACCATCGCGTTAACCGTGAGAGGTTCTTGGTTAGAACACCGGGATAACAAAAGATTGTTTAGAATAACGTGGAAACGGGACTTCGCTATTATGGGGTGTTTCGTCAAATCAATATTTTTTTAAACTACCTTCAAAATCCTTATAATTACTTTAAAAAATAATCGTAAAACTGCCTTTGTTTCGAAAGCACGGCCTAAGTGATTGTCGTTTCATAGCAGCCGAAAAGCAATTTTTGTAAAATCGATTCGGTCAACATTCGCTTCGATTGAAAATTAATTGCTAAAAAGGGCTTCAGAGCTCAGCACTCTTGATGGATTGCAATGAACCAGATTTAAAAGCTTATAATTATGATGAATGCATTTACGTTTGCATATGAGTATTATGTTTGTCGTTTTTACTATGAGGTTTGGGTTTATTTTGTTAATATTGTAATCTACCTTTTAAACACTTAATAGTATTTACATGTGGAACACGTGAAAAAAGATAAAAATACAGACTATATAATGGAAGTAAGGTCTGAAATTTATATATTTTTTTGTATCTGAAAAATTTCAGTGTCAGGTGGGAGCACAATTCAACACTCAAATTACTGCGAGAGACAACCCACCATACCCAGTACGAACACTGATGGGTACATCAATGGATAATATATAATATACTTATTTTGTACCTTTTCCAACATTAACCAGCACTTGTCCTCGTGAGGAGACCAAACCGTAGCGTTGTATTCTAAATGGCTTCTCACTAAGGTGTCGTATAAAATTCGAACCGTAGAACGGCTGGTGAAGTCGCTGCTTTGCCGTTAAACGAATCCTAAATATCTAGAGCTGTATTGCAAACTTTGATGACTTGGACCCGAAGATTCCAGATGTGAACAACGCTCCCAGGTCCGTGATTCGATTCATGCATTTCAGTGGTACCGGGCCTAGTTTATAGTTGAATGCCTTAGGTGCCGTTGATTTTGTAAATCTCATAACGAGATTTTTTTCACATATAACACTAAGGAGAATTAAAAAAATCTTCGAACCAAGAAATAGATATAAATGATTATATATTTGTGTTTAATTAAATAGAAATGATTTCATAAATACTTTAATAATATAATTTTAAACTTCAAGGAAATGAACTTCGATATTTGGGTTCTAAGAAGCTTACTACAATATCAAATTTGAAATGACTGAATGAACTTACAAACGTACAAACGCCCTAGTCATTGATTCTCAAAACGATTCTCAAAAGTTCCTGAAATTATAACAAATCGTTTATAAACGATAAAGTTTGTGCGAGCTAATATAAAAAAAGCATATATATCTTCGACACAAATTTATAAACTACTTATCTTGTTAAAGTCACTACAAAACTTAAATTTTTAAACGGTTTTATTTAGCTCGACCCGTACTGTATTTATTTGGGTCAGATTGATCTGAAATTTGGTATACACGTTTAATTTAGACGACAATACTATATAATAAAATCAATAACATTCTAAATCCAAGATGGCCGCCGATACAAAATGGCGGATTACATATTTTTAATCCCCTCAATATGGTTCTCAAATGAAACTACACTACACTAGTAAAACACGATGTTTGTTAATTTTTTTTCGTAGTTTTCAGTGCACAAAAATAAAACTGTTTAACTTAAAAGTTTTTTTAAGTTAATACTTGTTCGCAACTGAAATTATACAAAATAGTTGTTTAAATAAAATAAGCGAACTTCGAAAGATAATGCGATAGCTAAATTGCTAAAATAATTATATCGTTGCAATTCCCGATGACTTAAAGCCGAGTTAAATAAAACTATCTGAATTTTACTTACGCCAACATTTCAACACTGACGTGTAAAAACGAAAATGTAAAGACCGACGAAAAATCGTCATCTATTCATTACTTGCCCCTAAGACCCCTCTAGTAAAAAATGTTCCCCTTTCCCCAACGAGCAAATAAAGCGGTTTTGTCTTGAAAAAACCCTGAACCTTGTCTAAACATGGGTTACATTATTTTTTTGCCCTTCTTTCACACCCTTTGGAGTCGTTTATCGTCGTTCAGGGCCGTTCATGTAAACATCAGTAGGGTTATCGTATTGTCATTTTGTCTTTTTTTTAGTAGTTGCCTGGTAGAATTAGCGATGAACGATAAGACCGCCTACCGAATAATAGTTTGATTCAAAACGGAGGGCAATCTCAAAGCGGGTTATTTAAACAAACCATTTTCTTACATTTAATGCATATAAAAATTATTAATTCCTTAAACATCACTCAAATTCTTGTTAGAATTGCAGTAAGCAAGTTGATTAATAATTGAAACATTTTTAACGATTTAAAACCAAAATTGGTATTACTTAATTTATTGACAATTCATTTTAAAGACGCGAGGTCTCGGATGCTTTGCAGCCGTGGTCACAGGGGGACGTTTTATTTAAATGTGTACTAATCGTATAAACAAAAGACAAAATTAATTGCTGTATAGTTTTACTTAAGTGGCAGCCCTATCATAATAAACTGTGTACCTATATTTTCCATCAGGGTTGGCAGCCATGAATAATGTACTTGCAGAACTAGTACAAAGGAATTTACGACGTCAACCCTTAACCCGGGACATTCGTCAAATCGGGATATAAATCTGGATAGGCTCTAGTCGTAAATCCGGATTCGATTCTCGGGTCAGTTTTACTGTTTCGACGATGTATCCTCGAGCCAAGTGAGGCCAAGCTTATACATCTTGACTTGGCCAATTTGTAAAATTACGCGTAAACATATGTATACATATATGAAACTAAATACTGTCTGTAGTTTACGCGTGTAGTACACATTTAAATATTACATCTTAACGGTTTAAAACGCGATATATATTAGTTACCACTGCTGTAAAGCATCCGAAACGTCGGGCCGTAGTTAAAAAATTATCTAACTATAATTATATAATCGTCTAACTAATATATATCGCGTTTTAAACCGTTTAAGTGTTTTAATTAAATATCACAGATAAGAACAGACAAGTATGAGGTTCAATTGATGGGTTGTGAAATACGCCAGCCACATAACATTCAAACGCATCTGCGTTGTCGACCTATTAGGACTTTAAACTTTCGGAAATCTAAAGACCAAAATTGAAACGCTATAACTGATCACGTGTTTTCATCTGTGGTTCAAGACCCGGACACATATAATATGATAAGAAACATGTTTATCGTTGTAGGTTCTAGTCCGGTCCGTGTCATTTTTTATGTTTATTTTATGACAGAGGAATGACAGACCAACATAACGTTTACTTGATTAAAGGTGTAACCCAGTCACATAAATTTTAAACAGATGCGCTGTCGGCCTATTTTAAGTTCAGATATTAGCAAATCCATAGATTGAAACCTTCAAAGAGTTTCTCGTTTGTGACTTGGATAAAATTGCGATACGACCTAGTCAACTACCACGATGAGAATCGAATCTTCGACGTTAATTACCCATGCTCCCATTAGACGAACGAGCTCGTTTTTCCAAGCGCTATAACTATCAATAACATAATTGAACTAGTAGACGCAAACTGCACATCACAGTTTAAAGAGTTAATTTTCATTAAAACTATCCGACGGCGCGAACTTTTTCAGCGCTGAAAACTTCCTTCATTACCTAAATCTTATTGGGGGCCGGTCGTTGAATTATGTATGGGCACCGCAGATGCCTGGCTCCAATTTGGAAAATGGCCAGAACACACGCCGTTGATAAGGCGAATAATTAATTCTAGATAGCCATGTGCACTATGTTATTTGTTATGTAAATTGATCAATCTCAATATATTATATGACGCTGCTAGAGGCAGAGTGGCCTAATCACAAAAAACATGATATTCAGTAAGGAAGAAAATAAAAAGGCGCAATTAACTTTGGCGAAAATGATTTTTTCTATTATTTATGTAAGACTTATGTTGATTGTCGGTCACTGTGATCTTGTAGATTAACATTTTAGACTATAAAAATATAAATAAGTCAAGTTATAAAAATTGCAGTTAGGCTACTCTGCCTCTAGCGGCCTAATATATGCTTGCTTGTATATTACATATTATAATTGTATTTTGTTGATTAGTTGATTTATTTCATAGTTTTGTCTTCAAATTTGAAATAAATGGTTTTTTAAATATGATCTAGAACTTACTATTGACCGATGAATGTTTTCACCTAAAATCATCGCCAATTATTGCATCATTTTGATGTAACGTCTTCCATTGTTCCAGACATTCCATACCTGGAGCTGGCAGAGCCAGATGAGGGATACCACGGGCTGATCCGAGAGAACGAGACCCTGGTGGAAGTAAGGCCTACGATACGTGCGCGAGGGCCTCTCTGTTCTTTCCTCATCTTGAATAACAAGCATCATGGTGAAGCTCCGTTTGAGGTAAGCGTCTTTTCCAACATCTCTTTCTAAGACTATTTTCAAATGTTGATATAATGTTTTTTAAACGGTTAAAAGTGTTTTATTTAAAGTACAGATAATTCACACCTTTAACTGTAAATATCTATCACTTTTAAATATTATTCAAGCTAGCTGTGCCCGTGACTTCATCCGCGTGGAATAGTTATTTGGACATCGAAATTCATTTGCAATTCCCTTAAAAAAATCTACTCTTACCCACGACGACGTCCGCGTCCCGTCTTTTTTGGGAGTTAATCTAAAAAAAAAACATATCGCGGACAATTTTTTGGATCATTTAAACAGGAATCATTCTTTCGTACATCATTTTAGATTTTTCGAACGGTTTCTCAATGATAAATAATTTTCCCTTTACGCCACTATTTCTTTTGATCGTCCTATTGGTCGCAGTATGTTGTTATATAGCCTATAGCTTTCGTCCTAGCTTCCCTGAGTCTTTTAAACACATCAATAATTTTTCAATTCAAACCAATAAATAGTTCCCATGATTAGCGCGATCCAACCAACTAGACAATCTCTTCATCTTTGTAATATTAGTATAGATAGTGATAACATTTTATTAGGAGTTTTTTTTTGTATTGGAGGGACCTTAAATATTTTTAATTCTATATTCAATGTTTGTTGCCATATACTTGTAATATGTGAAAATTTCAATACTAGCCCTCGTGTTTCTTGAGATAGAGAAAAGTCTGGTGATAGAGAATAAGCGAAACATCAGTGACAAGATTTCCCCTTTGGCTACGTAACCCAGAAAACCGATCGCATCAAACTCACATAAAACGATACGCCCGATGTTTGAACAATGAAGCCATCACTTAAACAAACAGATAAACAGCCAACCGACGCAATTAATATATTGCCTATCTAGACGTGAAATAAATTGGCATATGCCGTAAATCACGAATGGCACATGCCCGAATAGAGACACAGTTTGTAAATGCCATTTTTCTAACGCCCCGTTGAATAGACCGGGGAAATAAAGTTATTCGGCTACCAGCCCGCGCGGTCGAATAATTTTAGTACAACTTGAACACGGTCGCATTCTGGATGCATAAAGTTGAACTGATGTTGATTGCACTAGTAACCATTTGGCACGAGCGACGTGCGGGCATTGATTCGTCTCTTTTTAATTCCAAACGACGCCGACAGAATGCAGAGCTGTGCATTTTTAATGACGTGCACAAATTCTGACGGGTTCCTTGGTTTAATAGCGGCGAATAAAACACTTTAACGGTTTAAAACGCGATATATTAGTTAAACTTATTTGAAAATTATTTTTAACTTAACGGGGACACCCGGTGACCACGGCTGCTGCAAAGCATCCGAAACGTCGGGCCGAAGTTAAAAGTCATTTTCGAATAAGTTTAACTAATATATTCCGTTTTAGACCGTTAAAGTGTTTTATTTAAATATGTACTACTCGCGTAAACTATAGACAGTATTCGGCCAATCATCTGCCAAGAGGTCAGTCACATTTGGGTCTTAACTTGAGAAGCGTTGAGGAGGTCAAAATTCGCGGTATCGGCGTAAACTCGCGGGCGGAGGTGCGACCTTTTGGGACGTCAAACAAATCGTGTCTCCTAGCTCGGCCATAGTTGTCCGGGACAAACAGTCGACAAAAAGCTTCCCTCAAATAAGGATCGAGAAGGAGGTTTCGAAATCAAATCGATTTCGAAACAACTTACAACCTATAGTTACAATTGCCCACGATTTAAAAACGTACAACGTACATTATCCCTCCAAGTGGAACTGTCTCGTTCATGTTTGTTAGTGCGTTCCACTGGAAATTTCTCTCGAAATTGAAAATCGTTTAAGTGGCTGCTGTCTCGTGGGTCTGATAGTGAGGATCATAGAGTTTGTATTCGAACCTTGTGTCGTACGAAATCTGGTATCAGCTTGGTGTATGTTAGAAGGTGTTATAACCTCCGTACCTCGGAAGTTATTATTTTGGGCGCCTCAGCCCACATTTGCTGCTAACCATTTCGGCGTTGCTCCTTTACGGAGGACGTTGGGTTATTCAACTTAGCGTGAAGGAGACCTTCCGCTATCTTTGTACTTTGATAAGGATAAGGTAAAGCTTTCGATATCACTTCACATCAGTACTAAAGTGGAAAGGTGGGACTATGCTCTAGAAACCCTCTCTCCTGTGGGAGTAAAGACCGTTTCCCAGCCGTGGGATATGATAAAGTGACGTGGAGAGTGTGGTAAATCGTACTAATCGCTACGGTGCCTTCGAAAAAGAACACGTTTGTACGACTCCAAAGCCTTTATTAAAAAACCTGCGATTCTGTGCTAATACATTGGCAAAATTTTACTACACCATGAATGCACGATACGATTGTAAATTCCTTATCGCCGTTTACGAGTGAAGTAAATAAGCAAAGATTTCTCTAGAGAAATCCACGACTACACCGCAATAATATTTCAACTGCAATACATTTATGCTTTACGAGCGAGCCATCTTTCACTGTAATATGAGCTCTGATGTCATAAAAATAGAGATGCATTGGGATAAGTGGGAGCCGCGCTGTGTCTCTTACAAAGCGATATTTTTATTCAATTTTAAAATTTATTGCTGTTGGCAACTGCTTTGATGGGGATATTTTATAACGTGTCCAATACTTGTCGGGAAGAGATAGGTCGACCGGAAGAGTTGCTCTTCCCTACAGCATTTCCAAATTTAAAATAGTAATTTCTTATACACAAATAAATTGGATGAATCGGAATTTTGAAATTCCGTCCTAGTCTGTGAATTTCCGAACAACCAAAATCGAAATAGGTCTACTGGTATATGACTGGAATGACTAGCGTATTTCACCTTCCATCTAGATCCCCGTATTTGTCTATCCTTTGTCTCCTCACAAAAAACATGGACTGATACCAGACTAGATGCGCTTGGACAGTTAGACCGATTGGAAGGTTCGAGACCAAAACAAGTTTAAGTAATATATTTACTACTAGCTGTGTCCGCGTGGAATAGTGACTTGGGGGAATTTAAGCTTAATTTATGAAGGGTGCATTTAATGCAGCCAATCTATGGTAAGTGCTACTTTGCCGCAACACTCTCACCTCCCATCACGCCCACTCCCACTCCTATTCCCAAAAAGCCAAAGAAGAAAGTTCCATTGTTCTAGCTTCAAAAACCACGAATTTCTATACAAACTTTAATCCCCCTTTTAACCCTTAACGGTTATGTCCTTTCTCAGGGTCTAGACCATCTGTATACCAAATTTCATTCCAATCCGTTCAGTAGTATTGGCGTGAAAGAGTAACAGACAGACAGACAGTGTTACTTTCGCATTTATAATATTAGTAAGGATTCCAGATATATTGTAACCCTTTTTTAAAGAGTCTGTGTACTTCGTGAATGTAATTTACGAAGTACTGGTTCCTAACCAGGTTAGGGAGAAATTGTCAGTTTGCTATTTTAAATATTTATAAGAACCCTTTGAATAACAGCCCCAAAGTTAGGAAGGTGTAATGACTCTATCGTTTTTCGTTGATCCCGGTTATTACTGACACTAGAGGTAAGTCTCTCTTTTTTTTCTTGTATGAGACTTGTATCCAAGAGTGAGACATTAATAGCTAGAGACGATGCAATTCGTAATCATTATCCATGTTCCAATATCGCATACATTCTTGGTATAGCGGCTGAATGAACATTACACTAAGAAGCGAAACTGGCTTCCTATTTCTGGAAACGTCTTGAGAGTCTATCAAAGAGATATTATTAGTTTGCCAAGCTGAGAGGGTGGGACTACGTAACATTGGGTTCGACGTCTTTAATGATATTAATAAACGGAATTTATAACCTTGTATTATTGCTATATTAACATTAAATCATTTTCAACGATGAATATATTTTAGATTTTGTTAACTTAATGTTTGACACATTGTTTATTTTTAAATGTAAGATCTTAAAAGGGATTCTTATCTAAGAATTTGCGAATTACTATTGTAATTTTAATTTTTATATCTTTACTACTTTTAATTTTTTTATCTGTTTTTTTATTAGTTTATTATTCATAATTACAATTCACTTTTTGTTTATTTGGTATATGCCTACTTCTACTATAAGAATAATAAATGAATTTGACTGACAGACACTTAATTTCAAACAATTCATTTCCCCTTTAAAACAGCCATTCAGTTTTGTGTAAACATTTTTTCTTGTATGTAATATTTTAATTCATAGGAATATTTAACAGATTCTATCTTATGTTATAAGAAATTTCCCCAACCGACATAAAGCTTAATATTTCATAAGAACGTATGAAATAGCCAATTTCAATTTTTATACACCCGTTAAGTTCCTTACAAGATTTTCTCCATAAGGGAATAAAATTTTTATTGTTCTGTATGGCATGTGTTCACCTGATGCCTCGTTTTGTTCGATGTAACTACTTCCTCTGGCGCTTTGTTCGCTTTTCCTTGTATCAGCAATTTCTTTCTTCCAATAGAACCGTATGAGTTACTCGTTAGGAGGGGTAAATTTCTGTTATAATGGTTCCCGTTATAGTAACATTCCCACAATCATCTATAAATCAAATTCGTAACCGGATATTGGTTATGTCTTTAGTTTACATGCCTACACTTAAAAATCAAACACCGTTAATAGTTCAAAACACGAAATATATTAGTTTATTTATTTTTAACGTCCTAGTTGCTCACGCCAGCAAGTATTTGACCACACTTCTGTGCCCTGCCCGATCGAAATAATCTTTTGTTTCCTCGGGATTTGAACCCGGGACCTCATGCTACCGCTATGATAATCAATGCATTTGACCATTAAGCTACAGAGGCGTATTTGTATTGTACTACCATATTTGTATATTATTATTATTACTAGTTTCTATTGGGGACACTGATATAAAGCTGTGACCAGTACTCACTACCAACTGACTGTTTCAAATATCTCCCGATTTCCTCTTTACAGATATATATATTTGTATATAATACAAAAAACATTTTATACCGTCTAACTGCATACAATACTCGTATCTGGTTACGAATTTGATTTCTAGATGAACTAGACGGAAACGGATACTATTAAAATGTTGCAATCCTTATTCGAGTTGTTGACAAAAGTCCAATTGAAATACAACGGTTTGTATGCCAAAGCAATATAAACGTTTTCTATGCTCAATAAAAATGAATCTATTTCTGTTACGACTGGAATATTTCTGCGGACATTTTATTACCACATTCATATGTTTGATGCAGTTCTGAAGATGAAGATCTTCGGTGACCTTATATTTTCTATTCTTTGTACGGAGCACATATAAATTTGTAATCGCTCTGAAACATATTGGACTTCATCTGGAAATTTGGAAATTTAATGCGTGGAATATCGAACTCCGTCCGATCGCACCGTCCATAGGTGATGCTTAAACGCATTTTCAAAATCCAAAGCAAGAATATTTGTTAGTGGTTTGTTATTATATTATTACTTGATTCTGCCCGACCAAAACTATTGCTTCCTGGGATTTTAATCTAAGAGTTTGCGCTGATGTAATGATAATGTTAGTTTTCAAATCCTGACTATACTTTTGTCCACAGATTATGGTAATAGACGAGAACGAAGCGCGATTGAGAGTACGATATCCTCTTAACTGCGAAAAGAGACGAAACTACAAGTTTGACATCGCTGCAGTCGGTTGTGACGGCTCATATTCCAATACGTAAGTATCACTTTACTAGTCTTGTCGACTATTCCACTGATACAAAACATAAGCAAAAAGAAAAACCCATTAAATTTTGAAGAAGAAGCATTTCAACAGTGCATATTAGAGAGTTAACTTAAAAATCTGTATAAAAATTTACTTAACTCATTAACGCCTATAATAATAATAAGACGTAATAAAAAAAATAAGACTTCATATTAATTTAAACCTTCGTTTGTTTAATTTGTACTGAATGATATTTAAGTAATGTAGATACATACTTGTAAAAGTTTTAAAACATGTATTATACGTTTTCCTTCGACCACCAATGACTATCAATGACTGAATGATTTACGTAAACAAAAGATTCATTTCAATGATTATAATATATTTTATTTCAGTGTCCCAGTTCATATAACGGTAACGGACGTGAACGAATTCGCGCCAGTTTTCAGCCAATCTGCCTACGTGCGATCCGTTGATGAAGGCAAAATATACGATGAAATTGTAAAAGTCGAAGCCACCGATCGCGACTGTACTCCTCGATATGGAGACATTTGCAAATACGAAATTGTCACGGATAAAAGCCAGCCATTCACTATCGACAATAAAGGTAGATATTGTGGACTGAATCGAATGTTTCGTGCAAAGCATTTGACTGTATCTTTGTCTATTGAATGTCGTAAATTGTTTGAAGTTTGATACGAAATGTCTTGCGTAGTTAAGCAATAATAATTTAGAAGAAACACCATTGAGTTAAATCATTCATTTGTACATAAGTACCGACGCCTTAAATAACAAGTTTATTGGTATCTCACAAGGCGTAGCATTGAGCCTATTTGATTTTTTGTGTTTGATGAATCGTGAGATGGAATTATTTTCGTATTTTCAGGCGTGATTCGAAACACAGAAGTCTTGGATTACGAGAAGTCTCACAATCATATCCTATCGGTAGTGGCGTATGATTGTGGAATGATGCAGTCTGCTCCAGTTATGGTAACAATCAAAGTTAACAAACCCTGCAGAGCTGGATGGAAAGGTAATTACGTCAGTCATTTTCAGTAAAAAAAATATTTATAAATAAAAAGCGGGAAAGACATATTTTATCGTAGGTAGATATATTACACAGTTGTTGGGCCCACGGATTCATTTGCACGTAATACTGATATATAAATAAAACACTTTTAAGGGTATAAAATATGAAATGTATTTTAACAATTCATGTTGCGTTTTAAACCGTTAAAAGTGTTTTATTTAATTGTCTACTACTCACATAAATTACAGACGTACTGTCTGTAGTTTATGTGAGTAGTAGTTAATAGTGACATAAGCAATCAATATTTCTAAATGTATTTTTGTGGCACCCAGACCAATGGTAAATTAAACAAAACTTGTATATTTTTTTGGTTCGGTATTTTTTTAGTATTTATAGATTTCCATTGCTTATGAACTTAAAAATAATGAAAAACCTTTTCCAGGAATCGCCGAGCGCGTAGACTACGCCCCGGGCACTGGACCTCTAGCTCTGTTCCCCGCTGCTCGACTAGAAGCCTGCTCGAGTGACGAACGCTGTCCCGGAGTGACTAGAATCCAAGCTGCTGTCACGTTACAAGCTTCACGTGCTGGAGTCGCGTGCGATAGAGACACTTACACATTGCACGCACAAAAATCTATCTGTGGTAAGTTATTTATAGACTACTAGCTATGCTAGCGACTTCCTTCGCGAGAATCGTTATTTTGGTCATCCAAATTTGTTTTTGCAAACCCCGTCATCTTTGTAAACTTAGGCGGTTACTTGTGTCCCTTCCTGTCGTTCTTGCAAGTTAATCTTAAAAGATAGAGATATAGCGTCGCAGATTTTTTTTAGATAATTTAAAGACGAATCATTCTTTCATACAAATTTTTTGGGTATCTTTACTTACTTTACTTTAAGTAGTAAAGATTAGGTAATTGTTGAATGTGTGTCTTATATAACCTTCTATAATTAGACAAATCTTACTGATCGATATTTACCTACATTATCTAATATTCAACCAAAACTACTGCAGTTGAATTAAAAATTACTGTTTTTATAAGAGCTAAAGTTTGCTACCAATGTTTTAATATTCAAAGCTTCTGGGTCCCGTGCAATATTTGACAAACTCATAATAGAAACATAAATATTAAAACAAACTTGAACTCTTGAATTTTTTAAAGAACCAGGGTTAAATAGATACATAATATGCACCCTTATAGCATCTCTTAATTTAAACTTTGACAAAAACCTACGAGTATCTAGTAAGATAGGGGCATGTGCCCCTTTTATGAACCTTCACATAATAAAAAAATTATGAACACAATTAGTGTTAATTCTTGGACTGGTTTGTCTACTAGTAGTCTTGTGTTTGTGTCTGTGTGTTTTTAAATTATTTCCAAGTAAATTATTACCTGGGTTTTACTGGTGAAATTACAAAAATCTATCTGGGTGTACAAACAACACCCACATGTGAAAACTAGCGTTTTGGTTTGTCATTGCAGTTTTTTGAAACTTAACTGTTAAAATAGGTCGACATCACATTGTAATGAAATATTATAGTGCTTAATTATTGGATTGTCTGTCTTGCTGTAAAATAAGTCATGTTATTTTGTTTTTTATTAATATTTAGAGGAAAAAATAAAGTTAAAAAGCTCCATATAGGTTATCGGGTTTTACTTTGACTTTGAAGCGATGTTATCGCGATAGCATCTTTCATTTTCAGTATGTGAATGTCGTCAAACGCTACGAGTAATTGTATTAAAATGCTGACTGCAGCAGAACAATTGGGTCAACATTTTACGTATCTAGTTGCGTTCTACTTATAATATATTTTTCTCTGTCTCAAATCTTTTTATTTAATATAGAGTGATGAACTTGATGGGAGTTGAAAACCCCAGCCATATAACATCTAAGCAAGATGGCGGCCTATTTTGCATTTGAACATTCGGAAATCCACAGACTGAAGCCAAACGCGATTAAACTTCACGGATTTTTTATCTGTGACGATGGTTTGTGACCCGGACGGAATCTCGATATTCCTACCCCTATTAAATACCCAGATTTCCAGACGAAGTCCAACGTGTTTCAGACAAATTATAAATTCAAATATTAGAAACATTTGAATATTGTAACACACTCTACTTTTGTTTCAAAAAAATCGAAAAATCTAAAATCATTTATTCATGTAGCTTAGTAGGTACACTTATGAACGTCAAAACAGTCAAAATTAAAATAATTACTAGTTTCGCTTCAAAAACGTCGAGCCGAGAAGTAAAATTAAAATAAGTTTAATTAAAATATATCCCGTTTTAAACCGTTTAACATGTTAAACGGTTATTGAAATTTTTACTACTCGCGTAAACTATCGACAGTATTTTATTAGGAAGTTGTTGGACTTAGTGGGTATCGAACCAGTTGATTATTAGCCATACATACAGACCGACGAGCTCGTTCTTATGATGAAAAACTAAATTTAATATCGTTTCCCTAGAATCTTTGAACTCTAGTCGTTGTGTGTTTCCTGTTAACTTTTGAAAACTGAAAAACTGTACGTCTGAAACTTACAATTAATTATCAATTGTAGGTATGGAAGCGAAGACGATCGATCTACTGCCAAGTCCTGGAGTCGGCAACGAATGGACCAAGTCGTTGAAACCGGATTCAGGTAACTTAACTATATATTTGCGTTTATGTATAATTATAGTATAGATTAAAGGAATTTTAAACAATTCCTCATGCTCTATGATGTGTACCAAGACCAATGTTTAACTAAAGGCAGGGCATAAATGTCTAATCGACTACGTACTTAAATATAAAAATTATTTAAATAAAACACTTTTAACGGATTTAAAATAAAAATATACTAGTTAAGTAATTTTTCATTTATTGTAACTACGGATATACTCTTGGCCACTTTTGCTGAAGGCGTCGTATCTAAACGTAAAAAAAAAAAATTTTACTAATATATACCCATTTTAAACCGTTAAAGTGTCTTATTTTAATCTTTATGATTTTCACCTGAAAAGTAAATACACACGTGACGTTTCAGGGCGCGATGGTGAACAAATGTTCGAGTTTGACGGTGAATCGACATCCGCTGTGGTTCCGGAGTCGGTGATGAAGCACTCTCTCGGCAGCACCTTCTCCGTCTCCACCTGGCTACGTCACGCACCACCACCAGACCATGACAAGCACCGCAAGGAACACATCCTGTGTCTCGCTGATGATCACAGTAAGTCCTATTTTATTTACCTCCTTTGAAAATGCCCGGATTTTTGGGCGATTTTTTGTTGCACTTTATACATAGTTAAAGTTGACTAAGTACTTTATGGGCTAGAGTAAAACATACATGCCTCTTAACGTGGCTTTGTACACATGCCAAGCTTACAAATCGCTTGATACCTCGGTAAACTTAACTTTAAGTGCTTCAGTAGAACATACATACTTGACCCTTAACTTGGCTCAAGCTTATGTAATTTAATTTTTCTTCCTCTCTAATTACAGAAATGAACAGACACCACTACGCGTTGTTCGTGCGAAACTGCCGACTCATACTCCTTCTGAGAAGAGACTTCGGTGAGGGTGACCTGAACATCTTCAGACCTGCCGAATGGCGCTGGAAGCTACCGGAGGTAATTTACCTTTGGTTCACAATTAAAACTTAATTTTGTAGTAATATTTTTGTGTCCATCAGTTTTTTTTTACTTTTCGAAAGAGGATTAAAATAAATCAATTATTGTGTACGGTCACATTTCCAAATATTCTCTGGATAATGCTCTTACACCACCATAACAAAAATTATCGTTTACACATACATACATTACAAATATACACATACACCCCCAAACAAATACCACACCCACCGAAAGAAACAACACACTCCCAAACAAACACAACGCAGACTCAAACAAACACAACGCAGACTCAAACAAACACAACACACACTCAAACGAACACAACACACACGCAAACAAACAAAATACACACACATAAGTGCGTGCGTTCCTCTTTCTGTAACACATAGAGAGAGGCGTGCTTCTATCAACGTTTGATCAACTTCCAAATTTTTTCAGGTTTGCGACGACGAATGGCATCACTACGCGGTGAACGTCCGTTTCCCCAACATTGAGCTGTACGTGGACGGTGAACTGTACCGTGCATTGGATGGAAAGGGCCCAGAAGTCATTGACGACTGGCCACTGCACCCCGCTCATGGCATCAACACCACGCTGGTCGTTGGAGCTTGCTGGCAAGGTAGGACTGTGTTCCACCAGATCTTATTTACTTCGGTCTGGTTAAGGCATAAAAAATGTGCCCTCTTGCCTCTATCTCTTTGTTCTAGGTTTTTCAAGACAATTATTTTAACTTTAAACTTTGATAGGCAACGGCTATCATGGTATCATAGTTTGCAATAATTTTGTTTCGGTAATTATTATATAGGTATATGAAAACTATTAACTTATAACAGGGATTATGTTTTAATACCGCGTCTTTAGATAGATGGTAAAACGTAAAACGCCGGTAGGACACAAAAGTGTACGGTCAGTGAAACGGACACGGAAATGTGTTCGCCCCATGTATCATGGGAACGAACGGGACTTCATTATTTTATACTAAATAATAAATAATATTGCTTAATTTTATTTTATTCAGGAACTGAGAATGACATGAAACACCACATGCACGGATGGATGGCAGGTCTTGGGGTGGTTGAGGGTGAAGTACAGTCTCCTGCGGCTCTACGCTGTGCTGCCAGATGTAGGGAGGGACTATCCCTAGCTCCAGATCTATGTAAGGGATTTTGACTCTTTCAAAATGACTTTAAACATTTCATGTTGACTAATGTTATAAAGCTGAAGAGTTTGTTTGAACGAGCCAAACACAGAAACTACTACTTCGTATTAAAACATTTGTGTTTGTAAGCGTATCTATTGAGGAAGGCTTTAGATTATCAATCATCACGCTGTGACCGATAGGAGCGTAGACACAGTGGGAAATGTGGAAAAACGGGGAGAAATATTACAACGGTTCAAGATACCCAAAAAATATGTACGACAGAATGTTTCCTCTTTAAATAATCTAAAAATATGTCCACAACAGTACATGTCTATCTTGTAAGATTGATAGCAAGAAGGCATTAACGCGGACGTGGTCGTGAATAACAGCTATATTTTACAGATGTTTACAAAAAGACATTTTGATGACCAAAATAATTATTCTACGCGAACAAAGTTGCTGCCACAGCTCGTACATAAATATTAATAATTAGACTTTCTATGGTTCCATAGACCTCAAATCCGTATCTGTGGAAGGAGATGGCGCTTCAGAAGTAGAGACACTTGTGCGTCGCGTAGCATATGGTGACGCGCGCGCATTCCCCACACCTGGTAGAAGAAATGTACACTTAGATACAACAATTACGTAAGTTTTTTTATTATTATTTATATGTTTTACAACACCATCTGTTGCTTGAAGAATGAATTAAAGACACAGAATCATTGTTCATATTATTATAACCTAAAAGTAGCTCCATACTACTTTTAAATTGTAATAACTTGTTTTACTAGACTAGAATAATAATTAAGCGATGCAGACTAGCTAAACTAAGATTGTCATATCAATGATAAATGCATTTTTTCGTTGAAATGTTTTTACGATACCGGCAGGACCAAACCGGTTTCCATAGCGTTCCTGGTTCTCTTACCAATGTAGTTACCGTGTCCTACACGCCATTGCGGAGTTTTTAAACCTATTGATACATGCATGCTCTCGCGAAATGTAATTTCAACGTGTGAATTTATTTAAATATCACATAAATGTACATTCTAGGTGTGACAACGGCCGCGTCATCAAAGCCAGACCCGCTGAATCATACGTGATGGTACTCTCACCCCAGACTCCCACCATCCTTCTTAATGGAAGCTCTGACGCTGCGAGAGATTACGCCCACTTCAGAGTCGGTCTCTCTGTCTTCCCAGACTTGGAAGTTAAAGTTTTGTCGCGGGACAGAGATTCTCTTAGAGGTATGTAGCAACCTTGATCTGTTTTGTTTGATAGATGAGAACAGATGGTTTAATACCCCTGCCATATGACATTTCAAAAAAATACGCTACCGACCTATTTTGGCTATATTCGCAGACTAAAATCGAAACGCGCTTAAACTTCGTGGTATTTTTTATCTGTGGATGTAGGTTCGTGACGTGGATGGAATTTTGATAGCCTACCTTACAACCGTAAACCGTATAAGATTGATTATTAGCCATTCAAATGCCCTCATTACACCTTAACGAGTTGTCAAAAAGCATATACTTGTGTAAGTTATTTGGAAATGACTTTTAACACTTAACAGATTCTTAAAGCAATACAGGTTTATTTAGATCTTACACAGTATAAGTATAAGAATAGATTTTTTAGTAGTTTAAAAAATTACCAATGAAATCTAACTTGAGCATTGTTTTATGTTTTCTAATAGAAGCCGACACCCAAAAGCTGGATTCCTGCGTGGTTTCCGTCTACCCGGCGTTGAACCCAGACCACGAAGCGCTCGCTCTACGCGGTCACTCGGTTCTACCTGCATCTGACATCCAAGCGACACTAACGAGAGACGGCGTAAGCCTGACCGGAGCTGACACAGTTCATAATTACCAGAAGGTAACTCATTTTGTAGAGATATGGTTCTACTGTGGGTAGCAAGACGAAAACTTGGTTATAAGATTGGTTGATGATGATGTTTGAAAATTTTTTTATACATATGATGGCATTAACGCGCTAATCTCAGGAACTGCTGGTTTGAACTGAAATTTTTGTGTTGGTTTAAGTACTTATTGAGGAAGGCTTTAGGCTACATCACATTACGCTGCGACCAATCGGAAAATGTGGAAAAAACGGGGAAAATTTTTCATATTGGGTTTCCGCCGCGTCAAAATGGTTCGAGATTATTAAAATAAAATATAAAAGAATGATTAATATTTAAACGATCTAATCTAAATGTCTGTAACAGTATATCTAAAGAACGCTGGGAAGCGGACAATGTCGCAGTCACAGCTAGTTAAAATATTATGTTCAAAATAAGATGTCTTTGCTGAACGGAACATACCTAATTGAGATATAGAACGGATGTGAAATAAAAGAGATGATAACACCTGTTTAAATTATCTTTTTTTTTTAATTTTCTTGTTTCGAAGTTTTCAATTAAAAAACAAAAAAGGATACGATAGAGCTCACTCCCAACTATTTATTTTGTTTTCTTGTTATAATGGCAACCGACATATAATTTTTGAATTTTTTAACTCTTAAAAAAACTGTACGTTAACAAACAGCCCTGACAGTCAAATAGATCCCCCAAGGAATAAAATCTCGCGTCTTCAATTTATGTTTAATAAGTAGTAACAATTTAAATTCAACAATTTTACGGTTTAAAACGCGATATATTAGTTAAACTTATTTGAAAGTGATTTTTAACTTCGGCCCGACGTTTCGGATGCTTTGCAGCAGGGTCGCGGTCACGGGGACCGGTCACCGTCTCCCCGTGTCGCGTTTTAAACCGTTAAAGTGTTTTATTTAAATGTGTACTACTCGCGTAAACTATAGACAGTATTTAGTAGTAACTATTTTGTATATTTTTAAGGTGCTCCGTGAAATTGAGTACAGCAACAAGAAACCAGCCTACTACCTGAACCGCGTCTTCAAGCTCACGTGTTCCGAGCTTAACGGACGCTTCACCAGCAACGAATACGTACAGACGGTAATATCTTTTTAATCGCTTGTTAGATGACAAACAACCGTTGATCTAGTTGCACTGCAGATAACGAAGTCCTGGACTCAATGCTTCTAGGGTATTTGGAGTCTAAGAAAATTTCTATTAAACAAACTGCAACCCGAAGTTTAAGATGGTTTACAGAGGAGACTTTCCCTGAAACGTCGGGCCGTAGTTGCAATAATTTTAAATTGGTTTAAGTAATACATTGTGCGTTTCGTACCTTTAAAAGTGTTTTATTAAAAATGCAAAAAATATATTTTTAATTATTGTCTATGTTTTTGATAGCTGACAGTTGTACACCCTCGCGCCCTTGGCGATGTGCACGCGCAGAGACCCAGCGGACTGGCTGATAAATTGGATGCTGTGGTTCGAGATAAGGTAATTATTTGAAGGCTCTAGTTCCTATAACAAACATATAAAAATGATAGTCGATTATTGACATACATTATCATTCATAGTGATAGAACAGACATTTAATTACACAACTTATACTTGGAAAGTGTAAAAATACATTTAAGACAGACATTAAGAGTATTTTGATTCTTTTCGTCTATCTTTTAATTTTTCTATAAATAAAAAAATTAAAATCTAACATGCATTATGTATTGTTTAGACGCCAGAGGCCGCTGTGGCCGCGCAGGTGCCCCGCGCATTCGCTGCGCATGCTTTGCACTCCATACACGCCGCGGACGTGCCATCCGCGCGCTTGCTTGAGATACACCACAATGAGAGTAAGATAACTATAGCTCTCTATAAAATAGAGTACTTTATTATTCTATTGTTAAAAAGTAAAGGTATATCTTCCCTTTTACATTTTTAAAAGAGAAGATAAATACTTATAGGCCTATGAGATAGTCTAGCGGATATAAAACCGTCTAGATACTGCGAACGATAACTGCGAAGGAAGTGTGTGACCTATCAACGATCTAATAATATATCATTTGAAGCGTCGGATTGCAATTAAAATATATTTCGCATTTTAAACCGTTTATTTAATTTTATCATAGACTACACATTATGTGCTAGAATATTTACTACATGCAAAGTAACTACTCCTGAAAAGCACTAAATGTAACTTCAAAAACAATTAACCAATACAAACAAAAAATAAAATATTTCAATCCCGTAAACTACATATACATCACACAGTTAATCATACATTCTCTCCACAGATAACAACGTCGCACTGGTGATAGGCGCCGTGTGCTTCGGCGCTGTGGTAGTCCTAATAGCGCTCGGTATCGCCCGCGCACGCGCATCGCGTCACGATGTGACGTCACGTGACGCGCGCGCAACGGTCGCGCGACACCGCGTGCCGGCACATGACACCGAAATGGCGTGGGATGATTCCGCCCTCACCATTACTGTTAACCCAATGGATGAGGTAAAGTTACCACATTAAACTATACACTACAATAAATAAAACAAAAAAAGCCAATATTTGAAAAAAAAAAAAAAAAAAAAAATAAAAAAAAAGAGGGGGAAAAAAAAAAAAAAAAAAAAAAAAAAAAAAAAGAAAAAGTGGGGGGGGGGGGGGGGGGGGGGGGGGGGGGGGGGGGGGGGGGGGGGGGGGGGGGGGGGGGGGGGGGGGGGGGGGGCCCCCCCCCCCGGGGTTTTTTTTTTTTTTTTTGTGGTTTCCCCCCCCCGGGGGGGGTTTTTTTTTTTCCCCCCCCGGGGGGGGGGGGGGGGGGGGGGGGGGGGGGGGGGGGGGGGGGGGTTTTTTTTTTTTTTTTTTTTTTTTTTTTTTTTTTTGGGGGGGGGGGGGGGGGGGGGGGGGGGGAAATTTTTTTTTTTTTTTTTTTTTTTTTTTTTTTTTTTTTTTTTTTTTTTTTTTTGGGGGGGGGGGGGGGGGGGGGGGGGGGGGGGGGGGGGGGGGGGGGGGGGGGGGGGGGGGGGGGGGGGGGGGGGGGGGGGGGTGGGGGGGGGGGGGGGGGGGGGGGGGGGGGGGGGGGGGGGGGGGGGGGGGGGGGGGGGGGCGGGGGGGGGGGGGGGGGGGGGGGGGGCGGCCCGGGGGGGGGGGGATTTTTTTTTTTTTTTTTTTTTTTTTTTAAATAAAAAAGCCAAATTTCAATTTGAGGCTATGTAACGCGGCGTAACGTTGCAACGTACTTATAAAAAAATGTTCAAACGGTAGACTAAAAAAATTCCTTCGCACAAAGTAATTATTGTTAGAACCCATGTTTTGGAAGTGGGTTAAAAATGGTGGACCGACGTCGTAACGCGTTATAACAAGCCTGGAGAAGGTTTCAACTAGCAATAAATTAAAATTGAATAATATTGTATTTTAGAGCGCAACAGAATGCGGTGTCCCCGGAACCCCGGCGGGTCCCAGCGGCGCTGTGGACAGCTCCGACGAGACCTGCTCCGATTCGGACTCCGACAGACACGACTCCTCAGATGAAGATGATGATGGTAAGTATTTGCTGACAAGTGCATTCCGGCAAAATAAACATATTTTGCAAATACAGTTTCTGCTGAACAAATAAGGAGTTGAAAACATTTGTCTGTTGCGCTGTCGACCTATTTCGACTTTGGATATTCGGAAACCCACAAATCGAAATCGAAACGCGATTAAACTTGACTGCTTTTTCATATGCGTGGTCCACATCGCCTGGAAATGTGGATTTAATGGGTGGTAGGAATATTGAAATTCCGCCCGGAATGGATGGAATACATGTTTCAGAAAAGTTATAAATTTATTAGAAACACGTTGGACCTGATGGGGATCAATCCCAAGACCCGATTATGGCACACAGTGAGTATAAGCTCACTGTGTGCCATTTTCAAACAAGTATTTAATATTAATACTTGCGATATTGATATTGTCTTGATATTTTTTCTATTATATTCTTTAATTCATATACTTTGTTCCAGTGATACCAGGAAAGCAGCACAAATACAGAAACATAAGCCAGTTAGAGTGGGACAACAGCACGATGTAAGCGAGTCGTCCCGCTCGCACACCGTACTTAACGCACTATCGCCCTCTCACTTTCGCCCGCGCAAACACTAATATATCTGTCTCGCTCGCACTTGCGTTGTTCGTGTATTGCCATTTGGGATAATATCGCCCAAACACCAATACATTAGATAATAGCGAGTATTATCGCACAGTTGTATTAAGGAATTGAATTTGTAAAAGTATTTAACGGTTTGAAACCGAGTCATTATTTCTCGTTTTTTTTTTGTCAATGATGCAAATGGTGTCTCGGCTTCAATTCAATTTTATACAGGCACAAAGCGCGCGGCTGTTATGTACAATTGCGAACTAAATTCATAAAACTTAAGTCTTGACTGTACACGGTTTAGTTAAGTCAAAATGATCATATCAAGTTTATACGTAAAGTTGATTTTCCGCTTGCTTTTAGAGAGTTAGTCTTACAAATAGACGTCGCTTTTCTATGTTTTTCAGAACTGTATTTATGTATCAAATAGTGGGAGTTTAGTATCGAGTCGGTTGTAAGTGAATAGTTAAGCTAATATGTAAAATATACTACGGTTGTTCCGGTTCTGCGACTACGTACTATTAAGTACTGTTATTTTTCTTTGCTCTGACGTCACTCCGGTGAGATCCGCATTTAGTACAAGCATTTTACGTACAAAACCCACGTAGTTTTAACGTTTGAAAAATGTCCACTTCTACCCTTTACGAGCTTTTTGACGGCTTAAATGTATATTAGGCACAGAGTTATTTGAAAAAAAAAAATATAGATGTACAATACTATACACTTAAACGAACAATGTCGACGTAGGGTCACTACTATACTAATGAACTATATAATTATTATATATATATTTTGAATGCGTTAAGATTTTTACTAACAATTAGGTAGTAAGTGGCTATGTGTTAGTTCTGTGGGAAATGACCAAGGATTTTCCCCCCCCTAATTAAGACTAGGTAAGTTTCATTTCGTGTCTCGCTCGCACACTCGCGGAACACGTCGCTCTGTCTCTCTCCGATGTTGCATATCAGGCCATACTAGTGTAGTCCGAAATTGAAAGCAATCTATGGTGTTCGACATATATTTTGATTCGTCTGTTGAGTTTTCGCTTAAGTTTGTATTATCTGTTGGTTGAGCCGTCCGTATGTTTTATGGTTATTGAGTTTATGGCGATAAAGTATTATCACATTAGTGTGAATCAATGCGTGCGCGTTACGATAACCTGAAAAAGTTGATAATACCGTTCGCGTTACGTTACGAAGCTTCCCCACTAAGTTCAATTCAGTTTTGTACAAAAATGTTGGCAGCTACAGACGCAAAGTTGATTTTTATTAGTTAAATGTCACGCAGCTTTAAAAGTTTGACATTTGACACTTGACATTACGGCCACAGATACGATTCGGAATTATAATCTGTACTCTTGTTAATCTGTTGTAGTGCCATTTTGTTAGTACGTCGCTTCTGTTGGGTTTCACTAACTACCGTCCAATGCCCTATACGATAACTTTGACACTCGGTCCAGCACACGATGCACAAAATGCAGGCGTTTTGACATATTTTCGTATTATTTTACGGTAGCTAATAATTATTTCTTCTCTTTCTTTTTAATTGAATTAATTTTTATATTTTATTACTTCGGTATTATAACTGTATACTTAGGGACTTCTTTGATGTATGAATTATTATATTTTAGCTAAAAATAAAGTTGGTTTAAAATACACCGATGTTTTATTTATTATTATTTTCTTTCGGGGACACCTGTGGTAGGACGGGTTATCAGTCCACGTTATCAGTTGACCATTTACCCATTTCCACATTTTCTCCTTGAGGTACTCACTAAAAATCTCACCTGGGTTATCTGGACGAAAGGAAGGATAGAATTCGTATTCGATTCCTGTGAAAACAGGCTAAGTAGGTACATAGTTTCAATCGAAACAGACGCCTGACGAAATCTAACTCATTCTCTCCTACAAATATATTTAAGAAAAAGTAAAATAACATTATAAATATAAGATAAAATTCCAAAGCTTCAAAATATTGGTTGGAGAAATTATTTGTCAAAGCTTTCCACACTTAAGCGATTCATTTTTCAAACCCGAATAAATAATTATTTTTTTAATAAATTTAATAATTAAAAAAAAAAATTAATAATGTTTAATTAATAATAGATATCCAAAACGACCTTCCATGTCCTCAAATATCTCACATAGGTGTGATCACTTGTACACAAAATTTTATAAAGAAAAGCTATTTAGAATTGTCACGAGTATAATTATTATTGAACACTAGCTGTTGCAGCGACATTTTGGCATCCAAATTTGATTTTGCATTCACCTTTATCATCTTTATCTTAAGGTCGGTCGTGTCCCTTACCGTCGTTCTTACAAGTCAATCTTAAAGAATAGACATATAGCATTGCAGACTTTTTTTTAGATCATTTAAAGAGGAATATTTTTTTCGTACATATCTTTAATGTATCTTAAACCTCTTCTTAAAGTTCTTGCAGCGTACGACTTTGGAAACCTATCTCGCTGTATCTTCGCTTGTATCAGTCACAGGGCCATGTTTTATAGCCTTCCTCGAAAAAAAGATTTAACCAACACAAAAATATTTTTTCAATTTGAACCGGTAGTTTCTGAGATTAGCGCGTTCAAACGAACAAACTCTTCCGCTTTATATATTAGTATAGATTTTAGTTATGTAATAAAGACGAGAACAGCGCCATCTGTTGAGTAAATTAAAATTATATGATGAGAATTTACGGTTGCTTAAACTTTAGTACAGATGAATACAGCGCCATCTGTTGAATAAACATTAAAATTGTATTCCGATTTTCAGATGCTTATACTTTAGAAGATATGTATTTAACACACAGCGCCATCTGTTGAATAAGAGTTAAAATTGTATGACGAAAATTTTCGGTTGTACAAAACTTTTGAAAAATACAAGACACAAGATGGCGCTGATTACAAACGAAAGCAGACTACATTTTCATATAACAATTTTGTATGGCTGCTTGTGTAAAATTTAATGAGAAAGAATGACTTAACTATTACTATAACTTAATGAGAATCAGTAAGTGCAGTCCAAGATGAAAATATGTCTCCCCGTGATCACGGCTGCTGCAAAGCATCCGAACCGTCGGGGCGTAGTTATAAATAATTATAAATGAGTTTAACTAAAATATATTGCGTTTTAAAGTGTTTAACACAGTATGAAAATCTGTGTTTAGGTTTAAAATATATTTAGGTCAAGTAATTAGAAATGATACACTTACGATAAACTATTTTGTTACGTATCATCAAGATATAATATTTTCAAAAAGATTTATAATTTTAAAAGTATAATAAAACGAACATTATTTATACTTTTGCATACATTATTACGTTGTTTTAATACTGTAAAAAATGATAAGTAAAACGTATTACAGCAGCGTAAGAGTTCTGATCTACTCTATCAATCGTACAGTTCGTAAAACTTACTTTTTTATTTCTCTTTCATGATATACTAATTATAAAACCCATATGTCAGGGTATACATTTAAAACCTGAACAAGATATGCCGTCGACCTATTATAGCGTTGGACTAGCTTTTGGTTACAACCAGGAAATAAACAATGTTTTGAAAATGTAAGGTTACGCGTTTCGAATCAATTAAAGTCAAATTAGACATAGTCTACAGTTTACGCGACTAGTACTTACACATTGAAATAAAACAGTAGATATTTAACAGGTTTAAAGGTAAAATATATTAGTTAACTAATTTACAATTACGAAGTGACCCATGACGACGGCTGCAAAAGCAAACACGTTGGGTCATAGTAAAAATAATTTGTGGGTAAATAACTTAATAAATATCGCGTTTTAAACTGTTAAGAAGTGCTTTATTTAAATTAGAATTATTAGAAATGATCTTTTAAACGGACAATGATCAAGACGGGACTCGCACCCACGACTAACCGCTTGCAACATTCCAGTAGAGCAATAAAATATCTCTGACCGAAGACTACTCTGTACAGCAGTTCAAAAAAACAAAACGCGACTGGCAAACGTCGTGCAAACACGCTACGACTAACCTAATGAGAGCAACAGAGACAGACATACAAAAGTACTGCGCGCTAGAAGGAGACGACCGTAGGTGGCGTGCAAAGCGCAATACCCATAGAAAGCTCGACAGAGACGCCTATATACATGTATCGTAGGTGCGAGTGAGAAAGGTATCGGTGCTCAGTATTGCTTGGACGCTGAATAATTGAAACACGACCGCCCTTTTGCTAGTACACAGCTGTATGTATGAATATATAATGTATGTTTACGCGTATATACTCACTGTAATTGTAAATACGTGCTTTAATGATGGAGGCTTAGAAATGATATCACATAAGCTTATCTTTGTCAACAGACAACTTAGATATCCCACAAGAGAGGCCCCGTTTATATTTAGCTACGATTTTACGATTTATTGATGACGGCTTTAGGCTAAATACTGTCTATAGTTAACGCGAGCAGTACACATTTAAATAAAACGGTTTAGAACGCGATATATTAGTTAAATTCATTATATACTTATTCATATTATTGCTTCAGGCTATATAATATCACGCTGCAACCAATAGAAGCGAATACACAGAGGAAAATATGGGGAAAAACGGGGAAAATATGGAAAAATGACATTTTTGGTTCAAATAACCAAAATATATGAATGAAAGAACGATTCCTCTTTAAATAAAATATATCCATGACAGTATATCTCTATCTTTTATGATTAACTCGCAAGAACGTCGGGACGAACGGACGACGTCGTGGATATCAATCTATAACTAGTATATAAACTGAAGAGTCTGTTTGAATGTGCTAATCTCAGGAACTCGGGTTTGAATTATACAATTATTTCTGCGTTGGCTAGAACATTTATCGTGGAAGTCAATAGGCTGTAAAATATCGCCCTGTGACTAATAGAAGCGAAGATATAGCGAGAAATGTGAAAAAAAATCGAGAAAA